TACCATTTCAGTGTTGTTTTATCAATGTAGATGTTATTCACATCAGTACTAAATTGTCTGAGAAAGAAAACGGAAAGATAAATACCATTAATGATTTACTTTTACATGGTAAAATCTCACTCAATTTACGGTAAAAAAACCACAATGGGATCAAAAACTATTCAGTTTACAAAGGTTTGATTTATAAAGGTTCTTTATATGAACAAGTCTAAAATGGTGTTAGATAGCGTTTATGTAACGTTTACTTAAGGTTCATTGTAAACATGTTTCCAGTTTACACAGGGTTCATTGTAAACATGATTCTAGCTTACACAGAGTTCATAAACAGGTTTCTAGCTTACACAGAGTTCATTGTAAACAGGTTTCCAGTTTATACAAGGTTCATTGTAAACATGTTTCTAGCTTACACAGGGTTCATTGTAAACAGGTTTCCAGTTTATACCGGGTTCATTGTAAACATGTTTCTAGCTTACACAGGGTTCATTGTAAACATGTTTCCAGTTTACGCAGGGTTTATTGTAAACAGGTTTCCAGTTTACACAGGGATCATTGTAAACATGCAGGTTTCCAGTTTACACAGGGTTCATTGTAAACAGGTTTCCAGTTTACACAGGGTTCATTGTAAACAGGTTTCCAGTTTACACAGGGTTCATTGTAAACAGGTTTCCAGTTTACACAGGGTTCATTGTAAACAGGTTTCCAGCTTACACAGGGTTCGTTGTAAACAGGTTTTACTACCAATGGTAGAAAATACACAGCATTAATGTATACTGACAAATGAAAATGAGAATGAACTTACCCATATTCAGGATCTGTGTTTACCAATGTAATTTGACCAGTATTGGTAGGTGCAGCAGCAATCACAATATCTTGTTCAATTGCCATAGGTAATACTGAATAACCACAATAGTCAATATGTTCTCCTGGTGACAGTCAATCACAGAGGCAAAATGAATGAAAATAAAAACACAATCAAACAAAGGAAAAAAGAGAGAGAAACTGACAACATCAATAAAGTGCGGCTTCAGAATCACTAAGTTTGCACCAATGCTATGTATGCAAACATTATAGGACATTTATTCATGTGGGTTAACATATTATGTACACTGATGTGTGTCTTAGAAGGAAATATTTTCACTTTGAAGAACCATGGCTGTTTAGAACACGTGTTCATTAACTGTAAGTTAGTTACACTAAAATCTTATCGTAATTTGAATTAACTATCAAAATTTCATTCCACATAAAAAATTATATAAAATACTCCATGCATTCTGATCGTCAAGAACTGTGATTTTGTATTACATTCCAACCAGATGCATCATGACGAAATGTCATTTGGATATTGGAGTCTGGTCACCATCTTTCTTTTTATACAATTTGAGAAGGTGCTGTTGTTTTATTAAAAACTAATGTTGAAAGATTAGCCCAGCAGAATTGGCATACTTAAAATGAACACCGTTGAACACAAGAAATTGAACATTTGAGCTTCGGTGATATTTGTGAACACAAAACGAGTACGAACATGCAACTAATGAAATGTTCACCGTGATAAATAGTCAGGTAAATAAAGACATTATACTTACCTATGATATTCACTCGACCTGGTGCTCTGGCATAGAATGCTGGGTCACAGTCATACTTACTTCGAAAAATTTCTTGAATCCTGTCATACCTGAAATTGACAATTTTTAGATTTAAAAGAAATGCATACTGTAATAACAAATTTACTAGTCACTAAAAAGAGTGACCTGACAATCAAGAAGTTTGGGTATGTTTGTCACCCAGAGTCTAGATTAGGGAGTCAATCTGTCATAGATCACTATGTTTGTCAGTCACACAAAGCCTAGCCTAGGGTGTCAATTTTTGATAGTCAATCTGAGCCTGGCCTAGGGAGTCAATCTTTCATGAATCACAATAGTCACCCTAAGAGATTCAGATTCCAAGAGATCGAGGGAATGATTACTAAACAAACATATACAATTGAAGATGAGTAGGAGCACGAGTGTGAAGACAGCGTTCGGTTCGATTCGCGTTTGGTTTGCATTCAATTCCCGTTCGATTCACGTGAGATTGAAACATCCACTGAAATACCTATAATTCACTCAAATGTTGATATATAGCAATTTCAGCTAATTTAACAATATTTTTGAGCGGGAAATAGAGATCAATTTAGTATTTTCTGTGGAAATCAAGGTTATAAATACTTTAATAGTGTCAGTTTCTTGATGCGTCTGTGAATGCACGGAAAGTCAAAAGGCAATGATTATAAATAAAAACACCATCATTAGGGACAACATCAAAAGTTCAGTGAAAGATAAAAAACTTAATTCCTTTAGTCCCCCCCCCCTTCCATAATTGATTAACATTGATCATGGCATCAGACTACATTCACCATTAAATACAAATTGATAATTGGACAGTACTAGTTGGTTCTAGGTCCAACCATTTTCTCATCTTGGATGTTTTGTTTTCTCATTTTCTGTTATTTTGTCCATGATTGGATAGAAAAAATAAATAAATAAAAAATTAAAACCATTAAAAACCATTAAAAAATAAAATCGTTTTTGTAGGATGGAAACTTTTTGAGGTCAAAACCCCCCACCCCCAAACTAAAGGAAATAAGTTTTTTATCCGACATCAATTTTTTTACGTCGTCCTTTAACGTCCTTGTTTCAAAGATTTTATTTGTTTTTAAATTGAGTGGTGATAATTTGTGACTATATCATTTTTTACATAAATTTAATTTTCTTTAAATATATTTAGGCGTTTCTTGTTTGTTTCTACGGCTATTTTATACATATTTGAGCCCATGTGACTTCCGATGTGAGCGAGACTGTAGGACTATTTATAACCATGATTTTCCCCAAAAGAAATTGCATGATTCCCATATTTCCTACACAAAATATGCTATATATAAACTTTTGTGTAAGTTATAGATACTTTGATAATTTGTAAGTCAATCGAACACGAATCAAATGCGAAACGTAAGACAATCGAACGTGAATCAAACGCAAATCGAACCGAAGTCTGTCTTCACACTCATGTAAAAGCTCATACGATTCATGTACGATTCACCTATTACTCGTGTAGGAACTACGGAATTTTAGTGAAGCTATGTTCTCCATGTGCAGGACTAAATCATCCCAGTCTGCAATTTTACTAATAATCAGTAATATCATTACGAGAAGATAGAGTATAGTAATTTAGGCATTTAAAATGGTACTATGAAATTGGACTTATTTTCAAAAGGTATGGTCATGACCCTCCATGGCTGTCATATATGTGTGGGACCAGCAACTCAACCATAAATACAGGTCGAGGGGGCGTGGCAGTAACTGTTGTGAGCTCCCGGTACTTGTTACGCGATTTCCCTGTTACGTGAAATTATATCTAATTTCAAAGTACAATTTCAATCCACTTTCAAAGGTGAATAGAAATTTTCAAATGTAAATCTATTTTCAAAGTAAAAGTAAGATTGCAAATGTAAACTATTTTTAAAGTGAAGTGAAATTACAAATGCATAAAGGGCATCATTTCGATTTGTAATTTTCATTTTGACATATGCTTGTTTGATATCGATTTCAATTGTGAAATTTACAAAATAATTTTTAAATTGTAAATAAATATTATGCGTAAAATTTACATAAAACAAGACTTTTCAAAAACTACGGCCGTGACCCTGCTCGGTTGCCTTACATACTCATGCATGATTTTATTGTTATTTGATGGTAGAAGGAACCAATCAAAATGGTATGAACTGTGATCGACTCATATTTGAAATCTAACACCACACTAACCTGTCTTTCTGTGAAAATGGTATTTTCATCACAGGTGGACTCTGATCACCTGAAGCCATTGTTTTATACTACTTATAGTATATTAGTTTAGAAAACGGATGAATGAACGGATGAACACACGACTACCTGACCCCACCTTTGACTTGTGGAAGTCAGCTGACCAACATCCCGCCCTCACAGGTGATTCCAAAAAATCTTCTCCAACATGGCAGCGACCATGTGGAGAGTAACGAGTAAATTCTCGCCTTATTTCAGTAGATTGTCAGCAACAAATCTGCTCCGACGTTGTCCTGTTCGTAGATGTGTGACGGGTCTTGTAAAAGAGAAATATGACGACTCGTATTTCCCACCTATTGCGCCCTATCGGACTGAAGAGGAACAGGTTCGGGACAAGTTGTTTGATCAGGTCAGATCGGTCGAAACTAGCCAGGAAATGCTTAAAATTTTAACTAAAGGACAGGCATGGACTTACATGCCTCGATCGTTCAATGTTAGCCCAGGTTGTCTGATGTATTATCAGCATATAACTAAAACAGTGATTGTAAATGAACTACCGAAATCTCTAACGAACAATGTGGACATTGAAGCAGCAGTCACCGAAATGGTTCCAAGTCTTGTGGAGTGCGTGGAGCAAGAGTTTAGTTACTGCGATAGACGTAACCTTACATGGCAGAAATATAATTCTAGACCCCGACAACGTGCGAGATGGGTGCAAGAAAGTCTTATCAGAGCAATCATAGCATCACAGTGTGGTGAATATCCTCATTTGATGACATGTGAAGCTGATTTTGATACTGAAATCAAATCATTTTGGCTTCGAGACGATTACCGTTATCAAATAAATGAAAATCCATGGATTAGTATTCGTACAGTGGATCCACTAAATGAGGTAAGCATAGATTGCAGAAACATGACGTAATCTGTAGCATATTGCGATACCTGTAGTACTGCTTTCACACACCACTGTAGCATAACGCGGTACCTGTCGTACTGCTTTCACACACCACTGTAGCATATTGCGGTACCTGTAGTACTGCTTTCACACACCACTGTAGCATATTGCGGTACATGTAGTACTGCTTTCACTCACCACTGTAGCATATTGCGGTACCTGTAGTACTGCTTTCACACACCACTGTAGCATATTGCGGTACCTGTAGTACTGCTTTCACACATCACTGTAGCATATTGCGGTACATGTAGTACTGTTTTCACATATCACTGTAGCATATTGCGGTACCTGTAGTACTGCTTTCACACACCACTGTAGCATATTGCGGTACATGTAGTACTGCTTTCACACACCACTGTAGCATATTGCGATACCTGTAGTACTGCTTTCACACACCCTGCTATTGTTTTTGCATTTGTGCACTGATCACGTTTGTTAATCACTTTCACACTGACCATGGATCCGCATCATGGTCATTTATTGCTATTCCATCATGCAATACCTCCTAATTATCTTTTAATTACAATATAACAGGTGTTGTTGTTGACATATTTTTTTTACAAACTATGACATAATTCTTATGTGCAACTACATGCAAATATGAAATGGTTCTTACAAAGTTATGCACACAGTAGCATGCATATAGTAAGTAAATAAATATATAAAGGTGATTAGTGTATAATACACCAAGCCCAGTAGGCTCATTAGTCACTTTAAATAAGACTATACAGATCTCAGGGTAGCTGTAAAAAAGAATGCATGCTAAAAGAAATATTTAAACTGGCTACATTATTAAAATAAAAGTAGATTTACCAAGACTCATACAAAATGTGCTTGGCATTTGGTAAAAGCTCTTTGAATAAATTGTACTGTACTGTAGCTCATGCTTTTAGACACATCAATTTTTCCAACACTGTACTCTCTAAAACATTGTGAATGATTACAGGCAGCATCAAAATAAATACATGTACTTGTTGCCTTCAACATGTATATGTAACAATTCCTACAAAGTCATTTGTACATAATGGTAAAATTATGGTTTCTTTTTCAGATTGTTGACATAAATGATGATTTATCAGTGAACAGTGAAATACCAATATGTTTATATCTTCCTAAATCTATGAATACTTTCAAAAAACAGATCAAAAATATCTCTTTCCCTGGTAAGTGAATCTCTTGAGTATTCTCAGAAAACACATCTTATCTGTTTCCCTGGTAAGTGAATCTTTTGAGTATTCTCAGAAAACACATCTTATCTGTTTCCCTGGTAAGTGAATCTTTTGAGTATTCTCAGAAAACACATCTTATCTGTTTCCCTGGTAAGTGAATCTTTTGAGTATTCTCAGAAAACACATCTTATCTGTTTCCCTGGTAAGTGAATCTTTTGAGTATTCTCAGAAAACACATCTTATCTGTTTCCCTGGTAAGTGAATCTTTTGAGTATTCTCAGAAAACACATCTTATCTGTTTCCCTGGTAAGTGAATCTTTTGAGTATTCTCAGAAAACACATCTTATCTGTTTCCCTGATAAGTGAATCTCTTGAGTATTCTCAGAAAACACATCTTATCTGTTTCCCTGGTAAGTGAATCTTTTGAGTATTCTCAGAAAACACATCTTATCTGTTTCCCTGGTAAGTGAATCTCGAGTATTCTCAGAAAACACATCTTATCTGTTTCCCTGGTAGGTAACTTGATGGTATATTTGAGTATACAAGAATCTTTTTGCTTTCTAGCCACCCGAACCAAATATGTATGTTTGCTCTCACCTACTTTAAACTGGTCAGAAATTAGCTTGATTCCTTCTAGAAGTTGTGTAATGTAATAGCATGTTAGTCCTTGTTCAGATGAGGTCAGAAAAATGGTTGACTGTGCTTGTTTCCAGAGCCATTTTTGGGACAAAACTACACAGATTTCTTTCAAGTGTAGTACAAAGACACAAGATGATCTAATTATTTGGTTATAAAATAGTTGAATCCTAATCTTTTTTTCTGTTACTCTTTACCTGATAGTGACATGATTTGGGTTCTGTCTGCGAATCCATCATCATTCAACATCATTATCTTGACAATTTCTCTTCAAAATAGGTAAAAAGTCAAGTACCGGTAATAGGTTATATATCCATGATGATTTCTTTAATTGACTATCCAGTAGTCATTTATGCCAAAAAAAAACATTTGAAGATGTCATTAATTGTATCTCATGCAAACTGGCTGATTTAACGCAAACTTCACTGATGGTGGGTTACTGATGATGCATGTCAATTTGTTTCATGGTTTTTTAGAAAATGGCCGACTGGTGGCAATGTTTTATTTTTACGTGTTTTAACCATTTCTCAGACATGTCCTTGTATACTTTAATTAAATATTGACAAATCTCCACACTCTTTATTGTTTCACAGACTTCAATTGACACTTAAATATGGTTGTTCCTTTCTTCTGAATTGTTCTTTTTCACCAAGATCCCCCTTTTTCTATGAGATGTCTAGCTCATAAAAGATCAATTAATATCACAGGGACTGTGTCAGTGTCAATGATCCATGTTTATATAACAATGGTTTCTATATTTTCAGGTTATAAAATGCAAGATGATAAGTTACAGCATGGTCATACACAGATTATAGTGCCACTAATTTTTGATAGACAACGATGTATTGTAGAGAAGTTATTGCATGAAAGACTGAATGGTATTGGTCTCATTACAGGATTTGGTTGGGCCAATGCATTTGCCATGAGTCAAAGTAAGTATATGTAGGCATGTGACCTGCAAAAAACACTTTTAAACTTATTACAATGTTGTGAAAACAGAAAGACATCAGAAACCTTTTTCTATTAATATACATGTAGGTGATTGTCTGTTCTGTGTCTTGTTTAACTTTTGCTGTAAATGACTTCTTGAAACGACCAGCTTAATTGATTGGATGTAGGTTGGGTTGTAATATTGCATGACAATGTCTACTTGTGTTTATTTCCTAGAGCATTATTGGTTTGATGACATAAAAGAACCAATGGTTGTACAAGTAATCCACACCAATGATGCACAACACTACACATTTTATGTGTATCAGTTGAATACCATAGCCCTGGATCCACTTAGTGAAAAAACCAACAACAAACACAATATTATGTGGACTTCAGGAGAAATGAAATTGTTTCAAGATATACAAGATGGCAAGATAATAGGATGGAATTACGATGTTTTGAAATATTATATAATGTTTCTACTGAACAAGACCAGGTCTGGGATCACTGCAAACCCACTCATCAAGAAATTAGAAACAGAAAACTAAAATCACTAAAAATTGGTGATAATGAAGTTATAAAAATTGTGTTTCTAGTAGTGTGTTAGAATTAATTATAATCACTCAAGTGTGCAACACACATTTCATATCTGAACAATAGTTTGAATGTTTTGAGTGAATCATTGGTGACAAGAGTTTATTATTTGTTTTTTCCCCATGCAGGTTAGCTGGTAACCGTTTAACATTAACCTTCTGTGTGCAAAGTCAACTTAGTTAAATAGTTCTAATTACACAGAAAAGTTGACCTAAAACTAGAAGAAAGATCACATTCTGTCTCTCTGGTCCAAAATTAAGTTCAGTAAAAATTACAGAAAACAAATTTACTCCATTTTAAGTGGGAAGTAAATTTAAAGCTAAAAAGGTTAGTAAAAACACATCAAAACTGTATAAATATGTTTTAGTTGTTTATTTGTAATAAAATGCATTTCAATACCATAACACATTGGTTTTCATTCAATGATCAATTCCACTAGAAAACATACTTCGTATATGTGTTTGCAAGATGCACACTTACTACATGTAGCTTTGACTGTCGTATAAAAAGGAAAGCTGTCAATCAAATATATGTTGTTAAAACTCAGTATTGTGTCATGAACCAAATTCAGTGTTCATATAGGACCCTTGTTGATACAGCCTCTCTGACACGACCCAGTCTGCCTATAAATTTAAGGGCAAATCAAGTTTTGTGTACAAGAGGCCAATATTAGTTGGAAATTCTTCACATTGAGTTTTAGTTTTTTAATATTTTTATTCAGTTTGTCAATCAGAATGCTGAAAGCTCCGACACTGATATTATTTATACATTTGGTGTACATCACAAATTATATGCGGTGTTTCCCACTTTAATGAGCATACCATAGATGCATTCTGACAGCCAATGGAAAAACAGCTTTCAAGAAGAAAATATGTAGTGTATAGCTGAATAAGAACATTTAAAAAAAAAATTATATACAATATATTTACAAAATTGGACGGGAATGTTTGAACAGAATGTCAAAGATATGTTGTCTGCTACAGAGAAGGCAACTCAGCCATCTTTAATGGAAGTTCCTGTGCTAGTGATGCCCTCTCAATTGCATATTGTCGCCTCTCTTGTTGTAACCAGTACAGCATTTCAGTTCGGTCATATTTCAGTTTGTCTATGTAAGGACGTCCCTGAAAAGCATTAACAAATCATGTATGAATTGAGAGTAAATTCGCATATTAATTTATATTTAGGTAAGTAAAATTCATAGCAAAATTGCTTTATTCTCAGTAGACATTCTGTCTATTACAATCTGGGATGATTACCAAAAACTTACCTGGAATGTCATAGTATCATTAAAATTATCTTTCACAATATTAACTTTTTTCTTTACTCGCTTGTCTATTTCATCAAGAGCTGAATAAAGCTGACTTCTCTGTTTGGCTTCTTGTAACCTAGCAACTGATGAACCTCTGTAACCTGCATCGTAAT